AGAGAGCGGGCGAGAGAGATAGAGAGGGGGAAGAGATAGAGAGAGATAGAGAGAGAAAGAGAGAGGGGGAGAAAGAGATAGAGAGAGGTAGAGCGGGAGAGGAAGGAATGGTGTTGAGAGAGATAGGCAGTCATAGGGGCACAATATAGTCAGAAAAGAAAAGAAAGGCGATGCAGCTCTTCCTGAAGAGAGAGGTCGGATGGAATAGTGGAGTTGTAGACTGTACGAAGTAGAGTTAAGACAATATTATCAAAGATTCTTGTACAAGCAAGAACTCCCGACAGACTTACCCACAAAGGCACCGCTGAGATTTCTCAAGAGTACTCAAACGTACAGGTCAAGAAAACAAGTTCTTTCTTTTAATGTCTTATTTACAGAGGCAACAGATTACCGGTCTCAAGTGGCGTTTCCGTTGGTACATTTCACGTTTTAAGAAGACTGGTGTATCGGTTACGTTCTTCGTCGTTGCAAGCAAAAGACATGAGTTCGATTCTAAAGTGGAAATGTGTTGCTCATCGAGCATCTCCGTCTTTAATCTTGGGTGCCGCATCTCAGTCAAACGGGGAAGAATCAAAGCAGCATGTCTCCATCTAAATTGTGTTGTTTTTTTAAAAAGAATGCATTTCATATAATACAAATGTTCATCTCTTCACGTAATTAAAAAATTAACCGATCTGTTTGATTGAGAGGTGTCTTAAGGCGGGTCTTTATAATAACGACCACATTCGCTATAAACAGATTAGGGTAGCAGTGAAACTGTAGAGAAGTAGGAAGTGCATACCACTGCAGACCCCTGCCCCCAAAATAAAACATACAAACCATCAAAATAAACAACACCAACAACAACAAAATTCAACTTTCATAACCTTTCAGTGCTTCAAAGTGCGCGCTGAACAAGCCTATAATATCTCACCGTATAAATGAACCTTTGTTATATTGTTATAAATGTTTATAAGCGCTCCCAAGCTCACGCTCTTCAACAGCAGGGGTATCTCGGCTCACAGATGCCATGGGCGCTTGTTTGTTGTAAGAAAATCTAGGGCTTTCCCTGTTTCCCTGTCTTTCTTTTCCTGTTGTTTCCTTTATGAGGGTTCTGCTATCAAGGGAGGAAGATAAAGTGTGCGGTGGAAGCCTTTCATTTCCCGAAATAATTAGTGCACACCCGCGTTTAGTTCTGTTCTAGGAAGACACATTAGAGGCTGCTGTGACGGAAGTGTTAGCGAGCGATGCATTACTTCCTGGGTTTCTATTTCTCGGTTAATTAAGGGTTTGGGGATTTATTAAAGGTCTACATTTTAAATTCACTCTTTTCGTTTAGGGTTACATTATCCTTCTTGTCACAGTAGAAATGTAATTGAAGTCGTAAAGGAATGTTTCATATCATATGTAAAGGCGTTAAAAGAAAGAACGACTTTGTTTATGTCTAAGTCTCTCTGATTTTTAAAAATGTAATCGATTCTTTACATCAAGAATAGTTTTGTGACAGTAAGTAAGGATAAAAGAAGAACAACTATGGTAGCTGGTCTTGAGGAACATGAATTCGAACTGGAGAAAGACAATAACATACTTTACCTACCACACAGTTTCATTTTCATACAAACACACCCGCACACATGTGCAGACACATATAATAGACACACTCACAAAGAGAGAGCGAGAGCGAGAGAGAGAGAGAGAGAGAGA